TCCTCCTTGTCCTCCTTGGAATCCTCCTCGGAGTCGTCCTCCTCCTTGTCCTCCTCCTCGGCCTCTTCCTCCTCCTCGGGCACCTCAATCTCCTTGAGGGGCGCATCCGGGTTCACGCCGAGCTCCTTGGACATAAGTCTGTAGACATGGTTCACAAGGGCGGACGGGTCGGCGATCTCGAAGCCAGACTCGATCAATGCTGTCTGAAAGAGCACCTCCGCCGTCCCTGCGGCGGCCTCGTCGCTCTCGCTGGCCTTCACCTTCGCGAGGAGGTCCACGATCACCGGATGGTTCGGGTTGACCTCCAGCGTCTTGCGGCCGGCCATCATGGAGAGCTGCTCCTTGTTCTGGAAGGCCTGGGATTTCATGACCTTCTCCTGCTGGGCCGAGTAGCCGAATTGTGAGGTCACCACCACCACCGGCGAGTCCGTCAGTCTCTTGGAGACCTCGACCTTCTCCACCTTCACGCCGGCCTCCTTCATGGCACCACTTTCCGTCAAGTCCGTTAGCTTCTTCTTCCACCAGTCCGTCAGGGGCTTGTACATGTCCTTGATTTTGTTGAACTTTTTCTTCTCATCTTCCGTCTCGTCCAGCTTCACGTCGGCCTTCTGGATAGACACGAACTTCTTGCCCTCGTAGTCCGCCAGCTTCTGCAAGCACGGCTCGTCCAGGTGGTCCGGCAGCATCAGGACCTCTAAGTCCTTCTTGAGGAAGATCTGAAGGGCCGGAGCTTTCTTCATGGTCTCCAGGGACTCACCGGACATGTAGTAAATGCTCTCCTGGCTTTCCTGCATGCGGTCCAGATACTTGTCCAAGCTCACCTCCTTGCCGTCGGACTTGGTGGTGAAGAAACGCAGCAGCTTTGAGAGCTTCGAGCGGTTCGAGTCGTCCTCGTAGCAGCCCATCTTCAAGTTCTTGTTGAACTCCTTCCAGAACTTGCTCCAGAGACCCTCCTCGTCCTTCTTCTCCTTCTTCTCCTCCTTCTCCTCCTTCTCCTCGTCTTCCTTCTCCTCGTCCTCGTCATCACCGCCGGACTCCTCGTCCTTGGCCAGCTTCTTCATCAGCTCCAAAACCTTGCGCACCAGCTTCTTGGAGATCACCTTCATGATCTTGTTCTGCTGCAGCTGCTCGCGGGACACGTTCAAAGGAAGGTCGTCTGAGTCCACGACGCCTCGCACGAAGTTCAGGTATCGAGGCAGCAGCTCGTCGAACTTCTCGGCCACCAGCACACGCCGGACGAAGAGCTTCACCTCGGACTTCTTGGTCCAGTAGTTGTCCATCATGTCGAAAGGGGCCTTCTTGGGCAGGAAGAGAATTGACTTGAATTCGATCTCGCCCTCTGCATTGAAGTGTGTGTACGCCAGCGGGTCCAGGTAGTCCTTGGAGATGCTCTTGTAGAACTCATTGTACTCCTCCTCTGTCACATCCTCCTTGGCACGGAGCCAGATGGCCTTCTGGGTGTTCACCTGCTCCCATTCGAAGACGGTTTTCTTCTTGGGCTTCTTGTCTTCCTCCTCTTTCTCCTCTTCGTCCTTCGTCTCTACGTCGTCCTTCTCCTCCTCGTCATCCTTGTCGTCATCGTCGTCATCTTCCTCGGCCTCTGCATCCACCTCCTTCTTCACCTTCACGTAGATGGGGAACTGGATGAACTGGGAGTACTTCTTGGCGCTCTCCTTCAGCTTGTCCTCGGACAAGTAGTCGTGAGCATCCTCTTTCAGGTGGAGCGTCACCCTCGTGCCTCGGCCCAGGGTGTTGCCTCGAGGGTCATCCACCACTGTGAAAGAAGCATCTGCTGAGGACTCCCACACGTGCTGCACCGGGTCATCGTTGCACTTGGAGGTCACCGACACCTTGTCAGCTACCAGGAAGGCACTGTAGAAGCCGACGCCGAACTGGCCGATAAGGTTCGCATCACCACCCTCGGCCATGGCCTCCAAGAAGTTCGTGGTACCGGACTTGGCCACGGTACCCAAGTTGTTGATCAAGTCGGCCTTGGACATACCGACACCCGTGTCGATGATAGAGATGGTCTTGGCATCGGCGTCGTGCTCGATTTTCACCTCCAAGTCCTTCGTGTCCCCGAGGAACGACTCGTCCTGCACGCTGTGGAACCGTGCCTTTTCCAGCGCATCTGCGGCGTTGGAGATCAGCTCGCGCAGGAACACCTGCTTGTCTGTGTACAG